ACGGATTCGATCTCATCGTCTTCCAAATCGTTGCCTTTTATGGAACATGTGTAAGAGGTGACATGTTCGTTAGGATCGGTCGTACCGTTATATTTGGGAATTTTGGGCATACGGAATTTTTTGGGGATTGGCTTCGGTGCCGCACTCGACGGAAAAGGCTTTTGTATGAATTTTTTCGAATCAAGCCCCTTTATCATTGGTGGAGCCCTCGGGATTTGGTCGACCCTGGCATTGTACGTTTCCACCCTCTTGTCGTTGGCTTCGACTCGTTTTGTGAGTTCCTCGAGCAATTTAGTAATTCCAGGAGTAGCCCCCGATTCTTGCTCGTTAGATTTGACTATGGCAGGCTCTGTTCTGGGGTGACTTCTCGAAGTGGATTGGAGACCGGCCTGCTTTGTGCGCGAGTTTGGCTCTGTAGCTGAGCTATCGCTACTTGTTGGGCTTGCAGCATCTCGAAGATCATATGTAAGCTGGCCCCGATTTCCCCTGGGTTTTGGGTGTCTCGGGGTACGGATCGAGTACCGCCCTAAATGATTCTTTCCGGTTCGAAACGCTGGTTCGCCTCCAAAGCTATTTGTGAATTGACACCCAGTGGTATTTTGGCTCGAATTTCGGGTACTTCGATTCGAGCCTCGGGTGCCAAGTTGTTGGTTTCATCTTGAAGGCCGACTTCATAATCGATCGGTGAAGCCATTCGATCGGTGGTTATTCGTAGCTGACCCTAAATTCAAGATGTTTTCAGAAATAAGTGCAAGCACAATGGCGTGTTTTTTCAGATTTGTATCAAATAACCACTGTTATCCTCGCCCCCACGGTGGGCGCCAAACTGTTTACCCAAAAAATAGATAGAGTTGAATTTATACGCAGTTCTGAGGATATGTGGCGTAACTTGATACAAAATGCAAGGATAAATAAAATATAAATGTAGATTGGAGAGAATGCAATCTAGATAAGGTTATCAAGAACAGTGAACCTTAAGATTCGACAAATAGAATCAATCTAAGAAACTGGAAGAGCGATCCTTTACTGTAGAAGAATATAATACTTTTATTACAATGTAAGTCTCCGAAGAACTTGTGCTACAGAAATGATAACCAAGCGCTTTTATAGTGGAGGGATTCGTCTCCAAGCATAATAAAATAAACATTCAGTGGGAGACCCATGATAAGTCAGCTTTTTCATAATTTCTGCCAAGATTCCCTCTAGTGGGATTGCAACGGCTTTTGTCTGCGAGCTCGATCTCGCTTAGAATCCTCGATTTTGGTTCGAGCTTGATTTCAGCTCGAACTTTTGATCTTGGTTCGAGCCCTCGAATAGATTCCAGGTCAGTGTTGGTTGGTCTTTGGATTATCGGCACGATAGGTCTACCCTGCGTCATGGTTCGATTCTTGTTCGAGTTTGATTATGATATCGATCTCGACATGGACCGGCCTCCCCGGGTTCGAGGTTAGTTCGTCCCCCCTTCGGGATCTTACTTCGATACATCACCCTTCGAACCATACCGGACATGCCAAGGCTGAAATCTATTTCGACCGTATACAATATGAATACATGCGCGTACAACTGGACTGCCTTGATTTTAGGCGCTTTTTACTGCTGTATTCATGGATACATGGCGCAAATACATGTGAATACATGCACATACAGCTGGACTGCCCTGATTTTAGGCGCTTTTTACTGCTGTATTCATGAATACAGCAGCGCGAATACATGTGAATACATGCGCGTACAGCTGGATTGCACTGATTTTAGACGTTTTTTGATGCTGTATCCATGGATACAACGAATACATGTGAATACATTATAGTAACAACTGAATAGTAGCTATAGAAAGTAATTATGTAGATGATAGCTATAGGAAATTAATAGGTACTAAACAATAATAGTTTCTGAAAATTCCTATGAGTATTATTTTTTAAAGATTTTATTTGAGTAAGTAAGCTCTTGAACATGAACATGAACATTGAAAGAAAGGAGGAGAAAACTTCTTAATTTTGCATCTAATAGATGGGCAAAAATTTACTCACACCGCATATTTATACTAAATTATATTAATTTATGCGAGGCCTGTTCGCAGCCTAATCCCATAAATATATAGACACTGCTGAACTAAATTTGTAAAAGACACAAACATTTTTGCAATTTGCAAGGATAAGGAAACTTTTTTTTTTTTTTTTTTTTTTTTTTTTTTTGTGTGGTTGGGAAAAGGCTTTTCTTAAGTCAATAGCTACTAGCCACAAATTCAATCAGAAAGAAGGGATAACAAACTGCAAAAGGAAAGGAAAGGAAAAGAAGAGAAAATATGGCACTGAAACTTCACCACTGCCATTTACAACACTTAACTTCAACACCACCTAAATTCACTTCTGCTTCGCTTTTACTACTAAATTTTCAGACACTATCTGCTTCTAAGGTAAATGGAACCATAACAAGGGTAAAAAGTCAAAGAATATCATCAAGACTAAGTAAAAGAAGGCATATATTATCAGCTTCACTTTCACCTCTTGATTTGACAGAAGAAAATATCAATCAAGTCTTAGAAGATGCTAAGGCTGAGGTAAATTATTAATTTTTCTCTCCTTTTTTTTTAAAAAAAAATCTTGCGTGCTCCTCGACCTATTTCACCGGCGACGTACTACCTCCCACGAGACAATGGCGGACCTATATGCAGAGAAGAGGGGTCATCGGACCCGAAAACGTCGGTAAAAATTCTAAATATGTATGTGCATATATATTGGAAACGGTTATATATTTTGTCTGAAATCCTTAAGATCAAAAGCCTAATGGGGCACTGATTGAGCAGTCCGCTCATGTGTCCCCGTTACCTTGAAATCCTAGCTTCGCCTCTGCACAAAGACATGTAACAGATAACTCTGTCCATCAAAACTTAGACAGATAGAAATAAATCACTTAAATTTTTTCGTCATTACAATATTTAGATCCTGATCTGCTATGGTTTTCACCTACTTTATTCATTGACTGTTGGGCCACAGTTTGGATGATATATCATTAGTTTTCTTTGAATGTTGAACTGGATATATAAGATTCATTTCTTGGGTCCGGTTTTATTAATCTTCTTTACTTGTATTTATTTGTTCCTTTTTTTTGGTTCTGCAGTTGGCACAACTTTTTGATACTTCAGTTGGGATAACAGGTGATTTCTCATCAAAGGAATAATTGAATTTAAATTAGTCTCCCTTTTTGTATTAACAAGAGGAAATAAAATGTACAGGGAAAGCAGAACTAGCAGAAGTGGATGGACCTTATGTGAAGCTTAGACTAAGTGGCAAGTTTTGGCATAAACGTTCTACTGTTGTAGCAAGACTTGGCAATTACTTGAAGCAAAGAATTCCAGTGAGCATTTAATGGAATGTCAAAAATTATCAGTGTTAATTTCCTCAACTAGTGGTGTTTAGGTCTTTCATATTTGTGATCAACCTTTTTGGTAGTAACCTATTTTATTCATTGATTTTTTTTTTCTCTCAGGAAATATTAGAGGTGGATATAGAAGATGAGAAACAGTTGGATGATAGCCCTGCAAACTTTTGAACCTAGAGAGTTGAAGAGAGGCCTTTAAGTTCGTTCAAAGGCACTAGGGACGAGCTAGTACAGACAGTTTCATGATTCCAAATGTTTGCTCATATCAATTGTCCAAAACTTCATCAACCGGTCTGAGGGATGATGAAGGCGAGCACTAGTTTTGTAGGATAATAGCCTCTATCTTTATTAGCAGGATGCTTTTGCCCATTCAAGGGCGAAAGATACTAATACTTGAGAACAATTTCCCAAGCATTACTTCTTTATTTTTTGAAATCAAACATTTATTTCGTGGTGTTTTTAAAGAAATTTCAAGATTAAGATCTTCAGCTTGATGGATTCATATTTAAGATTACAGAACAAAAGGGACAATCCGGTGCACAAAGCATCCTGCATTCACGCGGGAATCGGGAAAGAGTCGCATCCCTAGGGGTGTGATGTAGACAGCCTATCCTAATGCAGTTTTAAGAAATATAGATGATGGACAATGGGGACAATATTACACCCCAAACTGGGAAGAGCTGAAATGTTTGATGAATAAATAAGTCAAGGAAGTTCCCTTCATGATTATACAATTTGACTGAAGCTATATTTATAAAATCTCATATTCTTAACTATGCTGACAGCCTAGAGCTTGTTTACATCACAAGAGCTCACCACAATCACCACTCTCTTTGTGGTAAATGACAATATTAAAGCTAATCTTATACGGCAAACTTAAGTGGTTCTACCATTTTATTGAAGTAGAGCAAGTGAAGCAAAAACAAACAAAAGTAAGAAATTTCAGGAAAAATTACAAATATGTACTCCATATTCTCACTGTATTATTCAGCAACCAGAACAAGACTATGATCCAACCCTGCAACAGCTTGAATTACTTCACAACCTTCCAAATATTCAACCAACATAGGTTCCACTTCATCGGCAGAGCTGCCCAACCCAAGCCTTCCATTCTTCCCGCAGCCCCAAGCCCAAACCTCTTTCTTAGCTGTGAGAGCAAGGGAATGTGCACGTCCTCCTGACACAGAAATAGGCGTCTCGCCAGCCAGCCCCTCTACAACCTTAGGAATGTCCTCTGGACCTTCTCTCCCGAGTTGAGAACTTCGATTCCATCCCCAAGATACAACACTTGTTGCATCTTCTATTGCTTCTGATGAAGCACCATGACAAACTGCCAAAGAATGCCCTAAACCTGAAGCTATAGAGAGAGGACGGAATTGTATATCAACTGGTTGCATCCCCAAGTCTTTATTGAGTCTTCCTAACTGGCCATAAATATTGCTTCCACCACTAAATAATGCCCCATCACCTAAAATTAGAAAATAAAAATCACCATCACCACATATTCATGCACATTTCAAGTATATAGACATCAAATAATGTGACTTACAGCAAAGGACTAAAGAGTGGTCGAGTCCGCAAGCCACATCTGCAACTTTTAACCCATGTAACTCCTCAACTGAACCGGGCTCCCAAATTATAGGCATGTCCTTTTCCTTCTCCATGGCTTCCATGACTGACTTCTCAGCAGCTTCAATTGCAGAAGATTCTTCTCCTGAACTTAGTTTAGTACTGTTTGATTCCAGTGGAGAGATCTCCAACTCTCTTCCTATATTGCCAATTCTACCATCTGAATAATATCCCCAGCCAAACAAATTCCCATTTTTAGCCAATGCAAGAGCATGCCCCCAGCCTAATGAGACCTGCCAACACCAAACAAATTGAAAACAAGCCTAAACCTACAAAAAATAACTTTTAAGCATTTGAATAATATTCGCCGTCTACTTGGTTATTATTGTTGCACATCATATCATTATGTGTTTCCAGTTTAACTTTTTCCACCTATCTTTTTGACAAGTAGAACTTCTTCTACCTTAAGCATGATTGAATGACCACCTTAACGATCTCTTCTCCAGAAAGTGTTTCAACTTTGGAAGGTAAGGCAGCGTTCGTGATTCCTTTACCAAGACCAAGCTGTCCGCGCTTGGAACTTCCCCAAACCCACAGAGACCCATCGCCCCCAATGGCAGCAGAAATGGCACCTGATGCGAATGCAGCTTGAACTCTTACTTTATTTAATCCTTCTACTATTTTTGGTTCGCTCCATGATTCTCTGTACAAGATTGGGAAACAGGATTTCCATGTTAGCGATACAAACAACCAATAACTCCCCACTCTCACACGGCACTAAGTAAAAGGAGAAAAATATAGAAGACGAAAATAGGATAGAGGGGGAAACATGAGTTTCTTCAGGAATACACAAAGTATGCTATTAGAGAAAAAATCAATCATCTGCCTACCTCACATAGAACAAAGAGGGGCTTAGTTTTTTGTCATCAGAACCGAGATAACTAACAGAGTCAAGAAAGCAAATTCTACAACATTTTTAATTCAGAAAAATGAAAAGAACGAAACTTTTTCATGGACATTCATATGACAAACAAATAGAGATAAGCCAGGATACTATAAGAACTCTAGCACAACTCAATCTAAAGGAAGAAAGAAAAAACATTTGAGAGTAATAAACTCTATTTTTGGTGCAGTGACGATATTTTATTCTCGTATCATGGAATTCTTTTACAGGTACGATGACCTTAGGGGTCGTTTGATACAACGGTGGGATAAACAAGGATATCCCATGGTATTAGCTATCCCACCTTCTATATGGGATGCTAATTCCATCATTTTAGTGTAAAACTTATCCAGGGATTAACTAATACCTATAACCAAACATGGGATAAATACAATCCCAAATTCTATCCCGGGATAATTATCCTCATCCCTTGTACCAAACGACCCCTTAAGGAATAAGCTGTTGTTTGGTTAACCAAAAAACTTGTCCATTGCTGTTACTATTCTTTGTTGCCAAAGTTCTAAAGAATTTAGTGGTTTCCATACATCAGACTGTCAGGATCATCATTTTGGCACACTATGATTCTTGGATATTAGTCATTTGATTGTAATGAATTTTTCACACTATAAGTGTAAATTAACATGTTATAGCATGTTAGTTACCATTTATTTTAGGCTACCCATCAGTGGTATTAAATAGAATTAGCTACAATTACCTTTTAAGTAACTGTAAATATTTTTTATACCGTCAGAGCATAAAAGATACCGAATTTTGAGCAAACTCCTTAATAAAGCTGAATAGATACAGAGGATATATGTATTCGACCAACTAATTTGATTGATTGATATAATCTTAAAAAAATCTCAACCTTGGAGAAAGAGGATCGCGGCCAAGCTGGCCTTCATTGTTACGACCCCAAGCCCAAACATGACCCTCAGAAGTAACGGCGAGGGAGTGGAAGTGACCGGCGGCGATGGTAACAACATCGGGCGGAAGGCTTGGAATAGGAGTGGGCTCGTAAGCGTCGGAGCCCATACCAATGATGGACGACGGCAAGCCCAATGCCCCGTGGCTTCCATCACCGAAGCTCATTACCGTAGTTTTCCTACTACAGCTGCTGCTCATCCACCGGCGGCAGAGATCACTCGCCGGAATTCTTCCGTGCTTCAGTAACTGTGACATCATTTGTATTTCGACCCGATTGTAAGTGGTCGTTGGATCCTTTTTGTGGTGTTCAGAGTAAACTTAAAACGGTTCGGATCTCTTTGAAGAATTGGAGGCAAGTGCACATATAGCCATTTTCGAAATTAGCCTAAAACTGAAATTTACGATGCACTGGCTAATTTCTAAATAGAAGCTTTTTAGATTTGGCTACCGGTTTCATCTTTACGAAGAATATTTCGAGCTATTTGCACAAATAGCCATTTTTTTAAGGTTGCTCTTAAAATTTATGTCCACAAATTAAAAATTAGTGCAACTTTAGCTAAAAAGTAAACTTTAGGTCAAAGTACCATAGGTTAACTTCAGACAAGAAATCTCAAGTTTGAACTGTTACACCTGTGGTCTAAATCTCAATCTAGTACTTGTGTCAAATTTTAAATCAAAATTAAAAGAAGCAAATAACGACGACGATACAGGAAGAAAAAGAGAGGATGGAAGAAGAAGATGCAGAAATATAATAAGATGTAGGAAAAAGAAGAGGAGATAGGAAGTAGAAGCCGCATGTTGTGTAGCCAATGGTGGCTAGATTTACAACATATTTTTAAATTGTGGTAAATTTAAAATATATGCCACAAAACGGCTACTTGATGTAAATAATTTGAGATCTTCTCCCTAAAAGGGCAGTCCGGTGCATTAAGCCCCCGTTATGCGTGTGGTCCGGGGAAGGGTCGGACCACAAGGGTCTATTGTATGTAACCTTACCCTGCATTTTTGCAAGAGCCTGTTTCCACGACTCGAACCCGTGTGCAGGCAGAAGAGGTTGTTTCCGATAGATCCTCGGCTCAAACACTATAATTAATCTTTTAAATATTGAATTTAAAGTAGAGAAGAATAGATGCAAAGGATTCATAGTTTCATGCAATCAATCCTAAATTGGACTTGAAAGCTAGTTTATTGATATATAGTTTACTAAGGAAGAATCACTTAATTGGACAATAAATTTGAACTCGTAACACCGCATTATTTCTCGACCAATTTAGTTGATTCCTCGGAAATAATCTTGTCTTTCAAATATAGACTTTAACAGAGGATGAAAACTTTCAACATGAGGACCTAGCTTTTGAACCAGTGATGCAGATTATGGTGATTAAGAACGTGACGTTTAATTTTACATCTGACAGGAAATTAAAGTCTGATCAATTAATAAGTGATTTACGTTTTACCTCATGAGTTAGCTTTTGAAATTGAAGTTAGGGAAGTCCATGACAATATGTCATTTGAATTGAAACATATGTATATGATATATCCTACAAGTTTATTTTCGTACTCAAACAAAATCAATTATAACCCTTATTGTCTGGAAAAAAGGAAAATGAATATAGAAAGTAGATAATTTTTTCTTGGCTTAGGAGGGAAGTCGGGTAGAAAAAAAAGGTCTAGAGGTTATATCTATTTGCCGGTTTCTTCAAAAATTATTTTCGGTTTTCTTCAAATTTATTTATACCGGAAAAAATGTAAATCTCCTTTTCCTTTTCTTTCATTTCCTTCCACCAATTTCAAACAGGGGTGAAACTAGGTGAAGAGAAGGGGGATTAATTAAAGTTCTTTCTTTAAAAAATTATACGACAAAAATAATATAAAAGTAACTTCTTTTTTTGTTATGTATAAACTATTGAATTCTCTATATCAGACAAGTTTTAGTGTAAGGATAAAGGACATTCAAATCTTACTTTATGTTAGTTAGATCAGTATTTTTATTAAATAAAAAATAAAAAAAATGAGTTAAAATGTGGAGTAAAAAGTTACAATGCGTTGCGATGTTCGACATTGTAACTTTTGTGCTCGTATAGTTACTTGTGATTTTTCTGTAACAAAACAAAGTTGCTTGATTTTGAGTCATAGTTATATGTCCTTTTATGAAATTTAATCTAAACATATATTTTAACATACTATTCTTATCATTAAATCATGGGAAAATGACCAAAGATATCCCTCTACTTTCATATATTGTTTATATTTAATCTCCATTATTATTTGGCCAAATTTACCCCTACCTTTATACTATCGAGCCAAATTTACCCTTACAATCAACAAACTTTAAAAAAATACCCCTTGATCTGTTAAGTAATCCAAAATCTCCCAAATTCCTTTTATTTAAATCACTTGTTATTCTTTTTGGTCCACTATTTTTGAAATAATTGGCATTTACCTGCTTTCTGAATTAGAAAAAAAAAGAGAAAAAAATGTTAAATAATACAACCGAATAAACAAAAGTATAGTAAATTAAAAAATCTAAATTATGTAGCTTTTCTAAAATCTAAAAGTATTTACAACATCCCAATTTTAATGAATTCGTTGCACCAAATGTATGGAGACTTTGCAAGTATTAGTGATTGAAGTTAAAATTCCTCGGAAACTTTACATTGTCTAATTTAACTTTGCTTTATTTAAATGCCCTCACATTGTGCACTCTTAAATTAGTCGATCGAATTCTATACTAATCAGTCAATGACAAATATATTTGAATATACATGTACATACATGATGATCAACTGCATATAATACACAATAAATAGACCCACTAAATTCTACGGTATGTATATGATTGAAAAATAAATAAAATTTTAAACTAATTTTATTTATTACAAAAAGATAAATGGGTGCATTGATAATAAAAAAAAATTATGAATAATTTGTATAGTCTAGTAATTTTAGCATTCACATCAATAGTAATTTTAAAAAATAGTGGACCAAGAAAAACAACAAGTGATTTAAATAAAAGAAATTTGGAAGATTTTGGATTACTTAACAAATCAAGGGGTATTTTTAAAAGTTTGCTGATTGTAGAGATAAATTTGGCCCGATAGTATAACGGTAGGGGTAAATTTAGTCTGATTGTATAACGGAGGTTAAATGTAGACAATATATGAAAGTAGATGGGTATATTTGGCCTTTTCCCCTTAAATCATAGTACTAATCTACCAACATACATTTTCACCTTAATTTAAGGCTTAAAAATAGTAAATTAAATATGATTTGATCATTGGAGAATCTAGAAGAAGGCATGTGCCAACAAGAATATCTGAGATTTCATTTCTGTGACTAGGAGTGCAGAATATCTCTTATCTGAGTAATGAATCCACATGTTCCTTTTTCATTTGGCAACAAGATCCGAACTTTATCTTCTTCATATATACACCACAAATTCATAGTTTTTCCTTAGCCCCACAAAATATTTGGTAGCATTTGGTTTGTCACTTATTTGCCACCTTTTGTTTATTCTTGGTTGAACTTAATTAGGTGCTCATTCTTCAACTGCAAATCTAACATTACTACAATCCAAAAGAAAATATGGCAACACAAGCATTGCTCTCTTCATCTTCTATTACTTCCTCAGTGGAGAATGACAGACAGATTCTTGTGGGAAGACCTTCTCAATCTTCTACCAAGAAAGCTTCCTTTGTTGTAAGGGCTGCTTCCACTCCACCTGTTAAGGTAAATTCCCCTCCTTGTAAATAGTACTCTTCTCCGGTCCAGAGACGAACCCAAGATTTGAAGTTGGCGGGGAACATGAACGGACTGTTCAACCAGTGGCCCCGATTTTTTTATCTTAAGGGTTACAACTAAAATATTTTATTGTGTATAGTACTCTTATCGCCTTCGTTTCATATGACGATGTTTAGCTAGAAATGGAAAGAAGGAAAACCATGGAGCAATGGTAAAGTTGTCTTCGTGTGACCTATACATCACAGTTTCGAACCGTGAAGTGAGCCACTGCCAGTGGCCCTATTGGTTTTTTTATCTTAAGGGTTCCAAGTAAAATAAATTATTGTTTTTAACATATATACACATATATATAGAACTTTTGCCGAAGTTAACTAGGTCCAGTGATCCCACTGTAACAAACATAGGTTCGCCTCTGCGTATCTCCATTTTAAATGACGATGTTTAGCTAGAAACGGATCTTTAGATGTTAAATTGACTTTTGTATTGGCAGTAATTGAAGCATTGAAGTTATAGTTAACATTTACTTTGATTTAGAAAATATAACATAATTGCTCACTTTATCTCCGCCTCTGAGTTATGATTGAAGTGCCTACGTACTCTTCCTTGCCCCTAATTAAAAATTCAAAAGTTACTTTTGGCTGTTGTTGTGACGCTTTGGTTATGAAGGTTACGCTTGGTCAGCGAAAGTCCCTCCAACTCACTCAAGAAAATATAACATCAATCTTTATCATTTACATTGTTAAATGTATTTGCATTCTTAAAATTGTATTGAATAATATTGTTGATTGATATAAGTATGCTTCAATAATCGATAAAAATCATATTACTATACACAAGTATTGATTCACTTAATTCTATTTTACAGCAAGGAGCAAATAGGCCTCTCTGGTTTGCTTCCAAGCAAAGTCTTTCATACTTGGATGGCAGGTAAGATCTATGAGACTTAAGGGTATATATACCGCCAAAGTAAAGAATGTTTACAGTATTAGATCACCTTTACGTGTTATAGCAGACAAACTGACTTATTTTCAAGATTATAATCCCCACTTTTTACGTAGTGTTATCTATAGATATCTTTTGAACGACCTGACAGCGTAACCATTTCTTTACGTTGTTAGTGTATATAAGTTAACTCATCAACAGATGCTATCTTAAGACCAATTGTATGTTGATCCACAGTCTTCCTGGTGATTATGGATTTGATCCCTTGGGACTATCAGACCCCGAAGGAACCGGAGGTTTCATCGAGCCAAAATGGTTAGCATACGGAGAAATCATCAACGGGCGATTCGCCATGCTAGGTGCAGTAGGAGCCATAGCACCAGAGATTCTTGGAAAAGCTGGTCTCATCCCACCAGAAACAGCACTTCCTTGGTTCCAAACTGGTGTAATCCCACCAGCTGGAACATACAACTATTGGGCTGACTCTTACACTTTGTTTGTGTTGGAAATGGCACTAATGGGATTTGCTGAACACAGGAGATTTCAAGATTGGGCCAAGCCTGGTTCAATGGGAAAACAATACTTCTTGGGCTTGGAAAAAGGCTTAGGCGGCTCGGGTGATCCAGCGTACCCGGGTGGCCCATTCTTTAACCCTCTTGGATTTGGAAAAGATGAAAAATCTATGAAGGATTTGAAGCTTAAGGAGGTTAAGAATGGAAGATTGGCTATGTTGGCAATTTTGGGCTATTTTATTCAAGGTTTGGTTACTGGTGTTGGACCTTACCAAAACCTTCTTGATCATTTGGCTGATCCCGTAAACAACAACATCTTGACCAACTTCAAGTTCCACTAAGTGAACTTGTAGTTATTTCTTCCCAACTTACTCTTCTCTTATGTGTAACACTATGTGCAGATACTATTTTGTATGTCATCTGTAATGCTAAAAAGGGGACATTTGGTCTAAAAAGCCTGATATATTTTTAGTGTATTAGCAATGAGTCTATTTTTTCTAGTTGTTACATTGTTGTTATCATTTTTCTGGCTATTGTTGTTGGAATTTGACTGTTTATATTTATCCTCTCGAGCCGAGGGTCTTTCGGAAACAGCTTTTTTACCTCCTCAGGGTAGGGTAAGGTCTGTGTACATACTACCTTTCTCAGATGCCACTTGTGGGATTTCACTAGGTTTGTTGTTGTTACTTACATGTAACCAGGAGGTCACGGGTTGGAGTCGTGGAAACGGCATTTTTGCAGAAATGCAGTATAAGACTGCGTACAATAGACCCTTGTGGTCCGGCCCTTCCCCTGACCTCGCCCATAGCGAGAGCTTAGTGCAATGAGTTGCCCTTGTTATTGTATTAGCAATGAGTCCTGTTGAAATTATATATCAGTTGCAATCTTTTCTATCAAACAAGAACTCAGTGCTATGAGATGAATGAAATTTCGAATAAAAAAGCATTAATAGACTAAAAACAGAATATACAGCACTAAACACAACTTTTCAGCAAAGAGCAAAAAGCTAGGACTTCTGATTAACACTTTCTATATGTTATTATTGCTAAACAACAATATGATTAGTGAAGATTTATATAGTCGATCTAACCAGATTCACTATAAAGCGTAGTTATTGTTGTTGCTAGTGTTGATAAACATTCACTAAACCAGAATTGGAATTTCCTGGCGACGAGATCCTTATAACTTTGTATCAGTCACCGACCAAAAGCACACATAAGCAAGAAGAATATTTTTCAGTTTACTTATGCAAAGAGTTTAGTCGATAGAAGAATTCAAATGAAAATGTTTTTAGTTGAAACCTACCGATTCATGTCATTCTTCGTAGTAGGCAAGTTTCTTGAAACCCATACTCATTGTTTGAGTTTCTTAGCTCCCGTTTGGCCATAGATTTTGGCTTCATTTTTTCAAAAAAAAATTTAAAGTTATTGTTTGTTTATGAAATGTGATATGTTTTGAAAAAAAAAAAAAAACAAAAATTTCCAAGTTTTTCTTCCATTCACAAAACTTTAATTTTTCTTTAAATAAAATACATATCCAAACACAACTTCAACTTTCAAAAGTTATTTTTTCACGCAACTTCAAAAACTCTTTTTTTAATTTTCAATCAAATCATCTATGTCCAAACGCTAACTTAGAATGCGCTATAGGAATATTTCTACTAAAAGGCACTATAAACGTAATATTGGAAGAAAGTGCCAGTATGCAATATAATTCAAAATCAAGTCCATGGCATATATCACAGGCGACAGTGAATGTCAATCAAATGGGAGCTCATAGCAAGGTTGATGTCTTGATTTTTGGCCATTTAATCAAAATTATATAATGAAATGAAATTGTAGAAGCTAATTTAGGTGAATTTGGACAGTAGATGAAAAGGCCTGATACGCCAATGGTTTATTTTCATTACATAGTACAACAATACACTTCTAAAGTAATTTCCTTTTTCTGCATTCTCAATCACGTCGAATATAAGATGTTACTATTTGTGCCGAATTACTCTGGCAAAAACTAGAGTTGCCTATGCCTTGTTTTAAGATATTGAACAAGCCAAAAATTGACACCAAGGTGTGGAGCACAGGAGAGAGAAGGGTGGGCAACTGGAGTTTAACATTTCTCATTTACACAANAACAAATCAACGAAGCCTCTGAAAGATAAGATAAAGGGACCGGTGAAGATGGCATATAGACGATGAGAACATGTATCAAGTTTGAAGAATAATTTTCGCCTTTCAACTGCAACAACCCCCTCCTTGAGAAGCAGCTCCATCTCTTCCACCCGACGGTCCAGGAATGCCTCCATATCCAAATTTTATTCCATTGGACTGCAAAAAGTATCCAAGAATTACACGGGAATTATATAAAAACAATGCAATGAAAATTTACTCTTTGTGGAACAGAAGCATCTACCAAACTTTAGGCAAACTCTGTTTACTGATTCTCTAAACAATGAATTCAGTCATCAACAGTTGTCATCAATATCAAACTTCTCTTTTATAATTAGTTGTCATCAGTACCGAACTGATAAACAAGGACCTAACTAAAAAGAAATGCTCAACTGCTCGAAGCCTTGATTGGATCCTAACAGCTACTTAGAGTATAAGAACACAGATTAAATCCATCAGGCAGTCTTCTTCAGTTGGCTAGTAATCTTTCGCATCTTCCATCAAATTAACTTTCTTAACCCTCCTGATATGGGATGTCACTCCAAAGTTGAATGGACAGGATTCTGACTTCTCAATCAAGCACGAATTTCAACATCCACATCTCCCCATAAATGTTATTTTTACCAGTCAAAAGTAGGACGAATCAAAGAGCCTATTACGAGTGTTTGTGTTAATGTCTTTCTTACATAATTTAATCAGTACCTCCTACAACAGCTAATACTAGTTGGATATCTCGTAGTATATTTCACAGATATTTCAGGGAATAGGGATCACAGAAGCTGTAAATAGCACTGAGCCTGGCATAGCACTTGAACCAGATGAGACATGTATCTGGAGAATGGTGTCCCCCAGTGTTGATGTTGGTTTATGACTTATGAGCAGTGTTGGCTAGTTCACCTGATTAGTTGTGGATAAATTCTCATACTTTACAGGAAAACCAATCCTTGGATTATTTCCATTATGTTCTTTAAATAATGAAAACTAAGAATACTTAGTAAATATCATGTGGTCTACTTAATGGGATGCCAAACATATTTTCCCCCTACTTTTCCAGATTCTCTTACCAAGGTGCCTTTTACATATAAATACATCTTAGCAAAAGTTACGTCTTCTCAAACAGGTAAGAACATATGCTTCCAATAACCAAAGCAGAACTACTTTATAACAACAGTGGCATACCTCATTTGAGACATCAAACACACCATCCTGTATTTTCTTGTAGATTGTTGAAGCTGTTTTGATAAAAGCCTGAATAATGCAGAAAAGGAAGCACAAGATTAACAGCCAATATCGAAATCCAATTAGGGGAAATGTCCATGGTGGAGATAAAACCTCAAGAGAAGTATCAGATAGGAGAATTCTTACCTCTTCAACATTCTGAGCTGTTTTAGCAGAGGCCTCCATAAATATCAAGCCATGTTCCTTGGCAAACTGCTCACCTTCTTCTGTGCTTACAGCCCTTCTATGAGCCAGATCACACTTGTTTCCTATCAGCATTATGGTCATGTTTGCATTTGCATGCTGCCTTGCATCTTCTAACCAACTAGCAAGGTGATTAAATGTTTCCCTCCTATATATTTTGGAGAAAACATACAACACCTGTCACTAACAAAATAATCGGGCAAATGCAAATAGACATGCAAATGGGGTTACCTGATTCATATACACTATGTTTTGCTCACTATTCGCATTCTTGAACGGAAGTAGACTTCAAAACACAGATGTGTAACATTACTTCCACATAAGTTTTCAATTCGACAGAGAAGAATTTTAAGTCAATTACAAATTTTAGGAACCGAAAAGTCTTTAAGACTATAGTAACACTAGCTCACTGACCGATATAGATGCTGCTCTGAAAGTTCAATACTCATCCACTATCTTTTGCACTTTTATTATTAGATTTAGCATCTTTTTTATTGCTCTCTTTTGTCTATGACATATTAGCTATATCATGATCAGAACACCATCAGATATATTTTCGCAATTGACAAGTTAAGGACTAAAATGTGATGTTCCACAATCAGTTAAGCTAAAAAACTACAATACATTTGAGATGAGGCAACTTTAAATGAGATTTCTTGGAAATAAGTTACTTATACAGGAATCTCTAACCAAAGTTAAATTACATATAAATAAGTACATCTCCTCTAAAATATGAGAGAAAATATATGCCAGGCAACCTAGAGTTACATGCATTATGAAAGTATCAAATTCCCTTATCCAAAGTGTCAAAGATTTGCCCTACCTTGTAATATCATAAACAAGTAATGCCCCAGCAGCACCTCTGTAATATGACCTTGTGATGGATCTGAATGATTCTTGACCAGCCTGAAACGAGAACATTCATTAGAACATACTTTCAGACTTCAGTGAAAGCACATCCAGAGACTAAAAATTAGGAGGACTAGGATGCATTTTGATTAAGCTAAAAATTATCAAAAAAGGATGACCAACTGAATTATGGACTTCTATAGGCATTTATTCGGACCTTCTAATACTAAGAAAAAAACAGAGGAAGAGAGAAAATTATGTCACTAACCGTGTCCCAGATCTGTAGTTTTATTGGTTTGTTGTCTATTGTAATCATTCGAGCCCCGAATTCAACCCCAATCGTCAGGTCATGGACAGGTTGAAACCGTTTGTCCGTAAATTGCAAAAGAAGACATGATTTTCCAACTCCTGTACAGAGAATTATTATATCCTTATAAGTGATGTATCACACAAGACTTTAAGTAACGTATGCATGGACATCACATGACAGAATCCAATACTTTGTAAGAAATGACCTTTCAAAGAGGGGGAGGGAAGGGTTGCATTAATACATGACAGCAAAAACTAAAAGAGTTAATACCCTAAAAAACCCCGAAGACCCAAACTATCAACTTTTTGTCAGTTACATACTTAAACTATCGTGTGTCCCCAAAATCTCAGTGACAACCAAACAATTAATATTGATAAAATCAGGCAAAAATGTTGAAACTCTAGTTTCCCTTGATATCATGATGATAAAGCACCAATTTTGGCCAGAAAACAAAATTCTTTCCTTCTGAAATGATCGATTGCAGAAACACCATGAATATATGATTGGCTGTCTACTACTTTCTTTGTCCCAATTTGTGATGCACTTTCCTTTTTAGTTTGTTCCAAAAAGAATGATATTTTTCTATATTTAAAAATAATTTAACTCTAAACTTTCTATTTTACCCTTAATGAGATTGATTTAAAGCCACACAAATACTTATGGCTTGTTTTGGACCATAAATTTCAAAATTTTTGTTTTCTTTCTTAAGCTTCGTGTCCAGTCAAACTGCATCACATGATCGAAATGGGATGGAGGGAGTAATTCTTATGAAATATAGCTCAAATAATAGAAGACGAATAAAATGCCAGTACTTAGATAGCAGCATATACTCAATTGCTCACATATTTCAGAAGGCACAATAGCCACAGAATCCATTACACTGGAACATTCTATTGTTTTTCCAGATCCAGAATAAACACTTACAGGAAGTGTAATGACCCAACCGGTCATTTTAACTTTTAGAAACCCGTTACCTAAAATAAAACTCCCCGAACATGCTTTTATTAATTTATGACTTGCGGGGATGGTTGGTTCGGGATTTGAAAGCGTTTGGGTTGAAATCGGAACACTTGGTTCCTTAAGTTAGCCTTAAAAGGCCAAGTTTGACTTCGGTCAACATTTTGAGAAAACGATCCCGGAATCGGGATTTGACGGTTCCAATAGGTTTGTATGATGATTTTGAACTTTGGCGTGTGTCCGAAACGGGTTTTGGATAACCCGGGAGCGTTCGACGCTTAATAGTAAAAATCAACTATTTGAAGGTTTAAAATTCTTTAAATTTGGTTTGGAGTAAGATTTTGAGTAATTAAAGTCCGTTTGGAATTCCGAGTTTGGGAATAGTTCTGTATAGTGATTTAAAACTTGCACGCAAATTTTCGTGTCATTCCGAGTAGTTTAAGTATATTTCGGCGCATTGGAAGTAAATTGAAGAACTTGAAATTCTTAAGTTTGAATCAATTTGGTTTAGGGTATGATTCTTAGATTTGATGTTGTTTTACACGTTCCGAGAGTTCAAGCGAGTCCGTTTTGTGATTTCAAACTTGTTGGTATGTTCGGGCGGGGCCCTGGGGACCCCGAGTGTTAACCGGACTAGGCTCGGATCAATTTTGGAATTTTGAAGAAGAGCTGAAGCCTTCTGCTTCTGGTACGTTCGCATCTGCGCTTGGACAGCCGCAGGTGCGACTCTCGCAGATGCGAGGTTTATGCGCAGAAGCGAAAAAGGGCAGGGAGGCCTGCCATCGCAGTTGCGGAATATCGGGCGCACCTGCGAACGCGCAGGTGTGAGAAAAAGAGCGCAGATGCGGAAACTGGGCAGCCAAGCTAAGCTCGCACCTGCGAGGTTTTTCCGCAGGTGCGGTACACTGTCCGCAGGTACGAAAGACCTGTTTGGCAGAAAGCTTAAAAGAACGGGAATTCACCATTTTTGCCCATTTTCTTCCATTCTTGGGCGATTTTGGAACTTTTTGAGAGGAGATTTCAACTAACAAATTGGAGGTAAGTTAATTCTACACCCCTTGAGTTAAATACATAGATTATAAGTAGATTATAACTAGTAAATCTTAGAAATCAAAGATTTAGATGAAAAACCTAGATTTTTATAAAAGTGAGATTTTAACCACGAAAATAGTTATGGAATTGGGTAGAAATTATATATTCAAGTTCTTGAGATTATGGGTAACGTTTTCATCCAAAAATTTCCAGAATCCGAGCACGTAGGCCCGGGGTGAATTTTAGGAATTTTACCATTTTGGATAAGGTAATTTATTTAATAGATGAATTTCGAATTATTGAACACATATTAATTATTTTATATAACTTTTGGATAGTTTCGAAGTTTTCGGCATCGAATCAAGAATTTTACGCAACACGATAATCGGAAAGTGGACTTTGAGACGAGGTAAATCTCTTGTCTAATCTTGTGAGGGGAAAATTACCCCATAGGGATTAAATTGAATAATTATTGCTAATTGCGGGGGCTACGTACGCACGAGGTGACGAGAGTCCGTGCGTAGCTGCTATTAATGCTAAAGTCCGGGTAGTTTAGGACTCAAAGCATGAATTACTTGTGTAAATTGTATTCTTTGTTTGATTAATATTAATTGATATATATGAATATATTGTGAATTGTTAGATAAAGATATTAAAGGATGGAAATCTCATATGCTTGATTTTCTGTTTAAATTAATTAATTGTTAAAATAAAATTGTTCTTTCTCCCGAATTTATCTTATAATAAATATACTCTCATTCTAGAGGTACATAAAAAATGTCCTCCTTTCTTGTGGGGCGGGCCGAACGCCTCGGCAGGATAGATGCATCTATGGATCGTGTTGCACGTCCCTCGGCAGTGTACACGACACTCTGGATCGGGCCGTACGTCCTCGGCAGAAATCGTGCTTAATAATAGTAATTACACGCTACTTTAATAGTTATTTCAGCTTGCGAAGCTAATTGATAAATTGGAGAATCCTTGAAATTTAATGAATTATTATTCCTGGTTGTTAAGGAATTAATTGTTATTC